AAAGAGACATCCAGGGTCAAAACTGGCTTGACAAGTATTCATACAATGTACAAATTTATCATTTCAAAGGAAGGATTCATCTATTCCACTCAAGGAAAACCTGGAGTCTGACTGTTTTACTGATCCAGAATCCTATATTATCTGCTCTGAATTCTATGTTGTTAACCCTTATCCAGTGCTGTCTTCGTGTGTTGGTTCGGAACTGCCACATTCTCCAAAATGTAATTGAAGAAGTGGAGGGGTAGGGTGGGGGTGGAGTTCAGAGAAGAAAAAAAGAGGATTAAAAACCTTGACAGGTGGTCACAGTTATTTCTTACAGAATTCACAGAACTTATAGAATACGACAAAAGAACCTGTGGCCCTCCATATGGTGTTGGACTGCAACTCCCATCAGATCCAGCCAGGACATCAAGTAGTGATTCTCTTATCATGGGATTCAGTTGAAGTCCAACAACATCTGGAGGGCCACTGGTTCCCCATCCCTGAGGGGGTGATAACAAGAACATGTTGGACTAGATTGGTCTTTTGTCTAATCCACAAGACTTTCAGGTTTTTATGTTCAATTTATGAAGTCGGTGCAACAATATAAGTTTCCCATCTCTGCCCTACAGGAGACTCTGTTTTTTGATAGATGCCATCTCTTGGAGTCCACAACTAAGACTTATCAGTGGTTCTATTTGGTTTGGTTTCTTGTTTGATACTTTCAAAAATCACAACTAAAAAAGCACATGGGAAGCAGAAATGCATCACTGAACAAGAGGGAAGGGAAAGTGATTCAGAAAAAAACACCCTCTCAAAATACTCTGTGGACATGGGGGAGGGGGAAACATTTATGAAATGGTTAGGTGGAAGAGAAGCTGGTGGGAAATACAAAGTGGAAGAACCACCCTATCAGCAGATCTGGACCAGGTCTGTTCCTGTGTGTTCAAACAGCAATCATTAGATGTGCAGACGATAGCTGGTAGTCATTATACTCTGTCACCAGTGAATGAGTATCTGAACATCTAGTTGTTATTAAACACACAGTTGCAGAGGTTGATTGAAAAGTTAGCAACTCTGCTTCCAAAGGAAAGTTTTGCTAATGTGCCAAGATGGAAGAGCAGCTCTGGGATTACCATTCACCAAGACCAGCCCAATGAGGGAGCCAGTGCTCTTCTCAGGCCTTCTTTCATGAATGTAACTCCAGAACTCTGTTTTGGCCTGGATCAAATTCACCCAACTGTGTTGGAAATGGTTTTCCTTTGTGGTGTGTGTGTGTTTGGGGGGAGGAGTATGGCAGAGAGCAGTGGTTTTAACTTGGGGATTGTGGAAAAGGTTAGACCATTAAAATTCTAAGATACATCTCCATGCTGTGTTTAGTTTGCTGAAGTTCATTCCCCTCCTCCAGAT